TTTTTTTTTTATTTTATAAAAATTTGAATTTTTTGAATTTTTTAAATTTCCGGCGGAATAAGTCCGCCGGTAATGTTTAAAAGATTTTTAATTTTTTTTTCTAAAATATTTCCGGCGGATTTATTTTTACATTTTTTAAAAAATTTATTTTTCTAAACGGTTTTTTTTTATTTTATAAAAATTTGAATTTTTTGGATTTTTTTTAAATTTCCGGCGGAAAAAGTCCGCCGGTAATGTTTAAAAGATATTTAGTTTTTTTTTCTAAAATATTTCCGGCGGATTTCCGGCGGATTTATTTTTTTGAATTTTTTATACTTTTCCGGCGGACATTTGCCGCCGGTAATCCGCCGGTCATATCTTTTCCCATTTTTTTCCAAACATTAATTACTTTTTAAAGATTAATTAACCCTTAGTTAATAAATCCGCCGGAAATCCGCCGGAAATCTAACCGGTTTAACTTTTCCGGTGGAATTCCGGCGGATTTCCGGCGGAAGTCAACAAAAGTTGACTTTTTAAAATACCGCCGGAAATCCGCCGGAAAAATTCCGGCGGAATTTGTCCGCCGGAAATTCCGCCGGAAATGCCCAGTTTTCTAGTAGTGATAAAAAGACAAAAAAATGCATCAAAAAGAGGGAGATCGATGAAAGTGCCAACGACGACAATGAGAAGCATGAAGAAACGACAACGGTGGTGCAACGAGGGGGAATGATGTTATTGGGTGCAAGGGATTTGAATGCCACACAGTTTGAGAATGACAAAACTAATATAGATTTTTTTTACTTTAAAACCGTTTAGCCGATTACATGTAGGTTTTATGGATTTAAAAATATGTAGGTAACGAATTTAAAAAGTTCAATAATTTATTTATGAAAAAAAAGCTTAGAGACTTATCTATACTATATTATAGAACATTTAACAAAAACTCTTAAACATCATTTTTTATAAATGAAGTATTGTTTATTGATGCATATTAATTAAAATTCAAGATTACAAATAAATTATCCGTAAGTATAACTTATTGAAGCTTCATGTTTGAATTCGTGTAACTAACTGCAAATAATCATAGTCAAATACAAGATAAATATTTCATTTTAAATATAAAAAATCTAAAATATAATTAAGATAAATATTGAGTTCTAACGTAATACTTAATTGTTATCCTTATAAAAAATTATATTGTTAAATTAAAATAAATTATTTTATTATTAAGTCTAAATTAAATTATAATAAAGAAATTGTATTAAAAGAATTACACAAAAAACAAGAACTTTTAAATAGTTAATTTAATACTAATATTTATATATTTATATTCGAAACTATATGATATCTTCAAATTTATATTTTATTCAAAAATAAAAAATTATCCCTTTCTCAAAACCACATAAAAACTATATTAAAACATCTACATAGACGGAATAAAACGAAAGATTAAAATCGAGATATATCTCAATACATTACATAAATACCCTTCTAATCATTCAAAATGTGAAAGTTCGGAGTTTTTCTAAAAAAAAATTCTTTAAATTTTAATTTTGAAGTTTCATGTTATTTGGTAAATGGCATAATAAAGTTAGTTCACTTTCAATTCAACATCTAAAATGTCAAATTATTAATAAATTTATACTGTATTATAAAACATTTGATAAAACTCTTAAAACTAATTTTTATGCATTAAATAATGTAATTACTGCATATCACTAAAAATTCAAGATTACAAGTACATTGTACATAATTATAAATTATTAAAGCTCTATTTTTTGAATTCGTGTAACTAACTGTAGATAAACATCCCATTTTAAATATACAAACTCTAAAATGTAATTAGGCTAATCATTAACTTCTAACAAAATACTTAATTATTATATTTATAAAGAATTATATTATTAAATAAAAAATAAATTACTTCATTATTAAACATAAATAAAATTATAATAAAAAAATTATATAAAAAACGAGAATTTTTAAATAGTTAATTTAATACTAATACCGATATATTTTTTCAAAGTTTTATGATATCTTCAAATTTATATTTTATTAAAGAAAACATTATTGTTTTATCAAAACCATGTAAAATCGTATTTGACAAAAACTCTTAAAATTCGTTTTTATGCATCAAGTACTGTTTATAGATGCATATTAATTAAAATTCAATGTTACAAGTAAATTATGCGTAAATACAATGTATTAAAGCTCAATGTTTGAATTCGTGTAACTAACTAAAAATAAACATAATTAAATAGATGATATTAAATCTAAAAAATCTAAAATATAATTAGGATAATTATCGAGTTCTAAAAAAAATTAATTATTATTTTTATAAAAATTATATTATTAAATCAAAAATAAAAAAATGAATTAAAAAAATTATACGAAAATAAAAAATGAATTAAAGAAATTATATAAAAATAAAAAAATGAATTTAACAAAATTATATTTTTCTTAAAATCATATAAAACCGTATTATAACATAAACTAAAATAAAAAAATATAAAATAAAATATTAAATCAAAATATATCTCATTGTATCGCGAACTACTACTCTCGTTACTGACTAAAGAAATTTGGTTTGTGGAAAATATGTGTTTTTATGTTGAAAAGTCTCAAAAACAAATATATACACAATATAATAAAGAGTGCTGTGTTGGAGTTGTTCTCTCATCATTTCCAAAACCATGGCTGACCCCCTCTTCCTCTCTCTTCTCCTCCTCTTCCCCTTCTTCTTCTTCTTCTTCATCTCCATCGCTGCTCAATCTAATGCAACAACTTACCCCACTTGCCCTTCATATAATMATTGTGGTAACATCACCATCAGCTACCCTTTTTGGAGGATCCACGATGATCAGACCCAATTCTGCGGATATCAAGGTTTCGGAATCAAGTGCTCCGAACGGGATGTTCCCACCATTGATTTCGACCGGGTTTCTTACTATGTTGATAAGTTGATCTACGAAACTAGCAGTATCATTCTCGTCGATTACGACGTTTCTCCCATCCCCGGTCGCAACCCCTGCCCAAGGGTGAGCCATAACATTGACTTTCAATCGTTGCCGTTCAATTTCACATCTTATAACCTTAACTTAAGTTTCCACTTTAATTGCAACGGAATCCCTGATTTTGCAACTGAAATACCGTGTTTGGAATTGGATTCCCGAAGAAGAAAGTCGTGCGTTAATGTTATCACTTTGGAGACGAAGGATTTCGATTGGAGGAACTACTCATGCGAGGAGCATGTGGTTCAGACGGTATTGAATACTAGCGTTCTTGATGAAGATATRCTTGCAAGGGAATTCGGTGAAGTGTTGAGAAGAGGATTCGAGCTAAAGTGGTGGAGGCTGGAGAGTTGCAGTAAGTGCGAAGARTCGAATGGGCGGTGCGGTTACAATAACAGGACGTCGRAGTCCATGTGCTTTTGCTCCGATGGTAGAACCACGACGGACGACTGCGAGGCCAAAGGTACGTTCATCATGACTCCCACTTGAATTAAATTCCAGTTTTACCCCTGTGTTAGTTGATTTTATAGACATCACGTCTATGATTACTAATTATATTGAAATAGTCAAGCTTTTTTAGGTGACGTGGCATTAATTGATTGGATMAAAATAAAAACAATGCCTTTTGTAGTCAAYACCCAATTCATATAGAGCTGACTTAAGGTATGCTTGTTAGTTGGTTAATCAGCTTGACATAACTATCAATTTATTTGTTCGCTTATATATAGTTGTTTAATAATATAAAAAATGATTTATTCGGCAAGTTTATAAGAGATAATTTTATACAGACGGTCAAGTTTTTATTAAAGTTATTCCTATCAATTAAAAAACATGTTTCTTTTATCTATGAAAAATCATTTCAAACAACTTCTTTTTTAAATTTTATATTCTATAAAAACAGATTAATCCACACAAATAACTCTATCTAAGTAAAACTTAATTAATCTTTGTTTTTTGTTTTTAGTTTATTTATTTAATATTTATTACGTTAATAATAACAATAATATATTTTATTTGATTTGAAAAAAGACTTATCTTTGACTATATGTATGTAGGATATTATTCATGGTTGACTTGACCATATCTCAATTTCTACACGTCACAAAATGAATTTTGAGAACCGTTGAAAATAAATATTTAGTAATTTCTAACCCTTTATTCAAAATGTAATCAATTTTAAATGTTAAATATATGTCTTTTTGTGCCTTAGAGGTGTTATCTCAATTGTCAAATAACATGTTCCAGATTTAATCCTCGACCCTGATTAACTTTAGCCATTGGATTAGATAAAAAAAGTATTTTTTTTATATCAGTGTCCTTGAAAATGTTTTGTATAAGTCAGTTAAGATTGAGTCATCAACTTTTACTAAAAGATGAGCATTTTTGCAAGATAAGTGAATTGACAAATTAATCAAAATTAAGACGTCTTTTGTTCAAATGCTTACCTGGTAAGCGTTTATCAATAAAAGTCAACACTTCCACATATCTTATCGGTAAAAGTTATAATATTTTACTCCATAATTAGGTATGTTAATTTTGTACCAAAACAAACCAATTAATTGTTATACTAATCATACCTATTTAGTTGGTACTAATATAATTGGTTGGTAGTATCGTATCAGTTATCTAAACTTAATTGGTATGTGGTATTAATTAGAACTTGTGTACCACAGTAATATCGTATCGTACTGTCTTATTTTTAAATTATTTATTAATCAAAGTTTAATTAATAATACACTCTATTTTGATTTTGAATTTCAAGTTATCTTGTTTTAGATTTTTCTAAGTTATAATATGATAAATATATAGAATTTGATTGAATTCATTCGYCTAACCCTAATAATTTTCGTAACTCGTACRCAYCTCCAYAGTCCATCGACGATCCTCAATGGCCGTTTGTATTACACTATTAGTGAATACTTATATTATATGAAGATTATTATAATGCTTGCATTGGTAGCGATAAGGTACTACCATGGTTCAAAATGGTGTGACGACGAGGTCAAACCTCAAGCTTTACACGCCACGTGAGGACGTGACATAAAGCGACAAATTTATATGTTATATATATATATATATATATATATATGTTTTCTGTATATTATTATAATCAGATAATAATCTTAAAAGCATGTACATTAATATTAAAATAAAAAATATATATAAATTATTATTATAAAAATAGTTTTTGATCGAATATTTAAAATGAAACTTAACAAGGTAATTTTACAATTTGGTTTTAATAACGAGTCTATAACGTTTATGAATTTGTAAAATTATTAATCATATAATTAAATAAATCTATAAAAATATAAAATCTAAAATTAAAATTAAAATTGTAAAAACATAAAAGTAAAAATGTAAAACAAAATAATTATACTTGGAATAGAATAAATAATTTTATAAGTTAAAAAATAGAATATACTTGGAATATTCGTTTTGGTGTTAGAAATGGGTTGAAGGTGAATCACTATTTGATTCGATTAGTCTAGAAAATAAAATTAAGGGTTGGAGATCTTCTTAATATATTGTTTAATTAGGGGTGGTTTATTAAATGTTTATTTGGTAAACTGTGTGATTTATCTTATCAGATAAATATGATAAGATTTGAGAATCTTACTCGTAAAAAAATGATAAGGATTCTGGTAAGTGAGAACGACAAAAATATTACTTGATAAACACTTACCAAATAAATTACTGTATATGATACCTTTTTAATAAAGTACAATTTTACATGATAAAGTAAATTAGACTATTAGACTGATTGACGATAAATGCTTATCGAATAAGCTTTCATTGAAACACAATAATAATAAAAAAAAATACATTTTCTATTAAGGAATTGTATAAAATACATAACACAAACGAAATATCTTAAAGTTTACATACAAAATGAACAAATCATGTAAAATTTATTAAAATAACTATTTTTTATGTTTGATTTCATCTTCTAACAATTTTATCTTTTAACTTTACCAAAATAGCTATAGGTCTTTAAAACCACGTTCACAAATGCGGACTCAGTTGAACTCGTCCGCAAAAAAGTTTACATTTTTCACTTAGTTTTGCAAAAAAATTTATATTTTTCACCTTAAGGTAGATAAAAAAAATTTAAAGTTGTGGACTTGGGACTATTTTAATAAATCTTATTAAAAAGGACTAAAAGGTAAAACTAATCGATAAAAATGATAAAATTTGTGCAAATCATTTTATTATAATTTACTTCTGTTGTAGGGAGGAAAATTCATCTTTTAATTTCTATTTGAATGGTCAACATTCCAAAAAGTCAAAACTATCAGCTAAACGTTTCTTCATTCTTCTCCTCTGTGTCTGGCTGTGTCCTCCATGGAAATTTCAACCCACCTCACTTTTGATTCACAATTAATTGTACCTGCATCTCCCATCTCCCATCTCCTATCTCCATCACCATCTCTCTGCGTCTTCACAGCAATGCTTCCTCTCTTCATCATCTTCACTTTATTCCCAATTTTTTCACTCAGTCAAAACGTCCAACAGTTTAACGACTGTTCAACCAAGCACTACAGCTGTGGTGAGACAACCCGAGGGATAGGCTATCCTTTCTGGGGAGAAGRTCGTCCATCCTACTGTGGCCTCCCGGAATTCTATCTCACCTGCCGAGACGACGGCGTCACCACTGTCGAGATTATCAACACCACCTTCCGTGTTCTTAGTATCAACCAAAGCATTTCCAGGATCACCATTGGTCTTGATGGTGTCTGGCAGGAATCAGGTGCTTGTTCGTTGAGAAGGCARAAATCCATCAACATTAACTCGTTTGAGCAAACCGTATTTGCTTACATCCCGAATAGATTTATTCTTCTGGGTTTACACTTTTTCTGTGTGGAGAACGATGATGATCCTATCCCGAATAGGAATAGACTGAATTGCTCAGGAGATGAAGGTGGGAGAGTGAGTTTCTTTCAAAATGAATCCATCTCTTTCCCTCGAGAATGCGAGACTGAGATTATAATCCCTGTTCTGAAGATCCCATTTGATGAGTTTATGCAAAATGAAACGACACCGTTGGCAGGGGTGTTGAAGCAGGGYTTTCCGATTGAGTATAGGGTGGACATCGGCGGGAATTGTTCCCGGTGTGAGGGCTCCGGTGGGACTTGTTGGACCAACATCACTTCCTCGGTTACTTCTTGCCTCTGCCCCGATGGTATTACTCGCTCGGTTCCATGTCATGGTTCCTCAGGTTTCTGACTCCTTCAATCTCTTTTGATCACTTCTATAGATTTTAAGTATAAAACCCAAATAATAATTTTCAAAATCAGCTAAAAATTATGATCACAAGTTATTAGTAATTCGTAATCTGATATGTTTTGGTAGCGAAACCTACTACGAAACTCCAATTCTTAACCAGGTACAATAAATGTTACCATTCTCAATTTCGGAGTTACCCTTCAATATTCCCCTTGATCACCTCTAATAACAAGGGGTTGTTTGACAGTTGTTGAATGGTTTTGTGCAAAATCATTAAGTGATCAGAATCAATAAGAGACTCTATAGTGCAAAATAAAATATAATTGTTTACAATGAAATTAAGACTCTTAATGGTTAAGGGAGATCCAAGATACAAAATCATTCAAAGGGTTTTAGAACCTTTAGACAGACTTTTTTTTTTTTTGCTAAACAAGATTCATCTCTTTAACAATTTAGAGATTGTCTTTTAATAAAACTATTAATAGGTAAACAAATAACCCATAAGACATTGATATGCTATCTTTTTATATTCCATTATCATTTAGTTATATATGTATTCCCCTACTTTTCCATAACCATCACCCACACTTACGTTCTGTCTCCATACTTTTACACATGTCGAAATTTAATTGGAGGACATACGGAAGGGTTAGTAATTTTCTTTCCCTACTAGGTCTTGATTTACTTTCCTTGCTCGAGTTGATCTCCAAATCACTAGTTGTGTGGGAATCACTGATTGTACGGTTGACATATCTTCTAGCGTGTCATGATCGTATAAATAGACCTTAAAATTGTTACAAAATAAGCTACTTTTTAAAATTAAAAGTTAAACAAAACATATAGGAGAATAAGGAAAGTGAGTTGAACAAAATTATATGCCACAAGACAAACTGGTTAAAACCATACCACAATGGCCATACTGACATTCCACATCCACTCATATGTCGATTCGTATGAAAAGCTACCAAATAAATGTTACTGGATGTGATATATTGTTATTAAAATATTACTCGTTAGGCGAAACTAAATTTAAGCTTATTAATATAACAAAACCAAAAAATTGAACCAATTATATGTTTAGAGTAAATATAGGACGATTATCAAATATACTATGTAACTATAAAATGATTTAAGTAATTAAATAATGAAACAAAATAAATAAATGTTGGATTATTATTATCATTTCAAACTAGGATTGAATTGGTCAACTCGTCTTTGGTGGCATTTGACCAAGTCTTGACGTCAACTTAGGAAGCGCGTGAAAAAAACACTTTATGGAAAAATATCACACGGTCACGTTAATGGAATTCAAACCATTAGGTATTTTGTTAGAGATATTAATTAATAATTAATAATTAATAAGAATAAAATAAATAAAACTTTTTAATTTTATATAATATAACATTTTTATTACCAGATTTTCACTTTTATTCCTAGCTTGAATCATATGGCCTCTAAGTATTTCTTTTTTCCTTTTTATCAATTATTTTCTTACATATATTAAAGTTAGGTTTTTCTAAAAATATATATTTAATAAATTGGATTTTGTTAGCAACATATATTATTCATATTAGTAAATACATTAACATCTTGATATTAAATTACAGTAAATAATTTAACTGAAATTAAATTAATTAAAATATAGGGTTGGAAGACGATATGATGTTTAAAAAAAATTATATTGTAGTTACATTGATATGGATGGCTTAATTAAAATACCAAATCATACTTACAATACTGAAATTTCTTACTAAAGATAGAACATAAGTAAGGAAAATCTCTGGAACAATTGTATGGATAATAATATATATGCATCTATTTTTTTGTTAGAATCAGATTAAATAATGTATTAAAAATGTAAAAAATAAGTTTTAATATTGATATATGTCATAAAGAAAAATTATAGATAGATATGCATTTAACAATATATAAGAATGCATTTATCCCACTCAAATGTGTCAAAATGGCCAAACCCTTTGGCCGGAACCGGGTTGAGCCATTTTTATCGGTTGATTATGAACCCTATAGTTTTTTAACCTATTATTATCTTTACTATTTGTTACAATATAAAGTCAAGGGTTGGGTTCCGGTGAGAAGAGTAAAAATAGATCTGTACCCTTGGATGTACATTAGAATGAGATACACCGAGATGAGATGCACCAAGATGTATCAGAGCAATCCCCGTTTCAGGCACAATTTATAGATGAGTTTAAGATTAAAGGTGATTAAGAGTCTAAATCCCTTCTTACGCATATCATCTTAACTATCCTTCGTCATAAGGTCAATCCTTATTAGGTTAAAAAATAAATTTTTTTTAGTAAATTTTTAATATACTTTTTTTTAAAATTAAAATATTTTATTTATATATTTTTAATTCTAATAAAATAATTATATAAAACGTCATAGTGAGGTAAGGAAAATAGGGGTTAGCTAGAGTAGAAAGCGTGGGATATCGCTTTCGTATACGCGTGATGATACGGTTTTCCCGTAATGTGTAATGTGAAGGCGTGGAAACATGAGCCTCAATAAGCTTTCGGTTCAAACAAGCATTTGTGGCCCCATTCCTATCTATCACCTTAAACTCTCTCCAAGTCAACATTTACCAACTCTTGATTTACATTTTAAACCACCAAATTATACATTTCTTATTAATCATAAATCAATAACCCATAATTTTGGATTAAAGATTATATATAGGGTCAAGTTCAGAAGAAAACCGTTAAAACATAAAAAACTGAGTAACACTCTGGCAACTGTATCTCGACGGATGCACATGTGTATAACATGCATAAAAACCAAGAAACAACTTCAGTTATTACATGCGCATATGCATATCGTCCACATGAATGATTACTAAGGTGGTGTTCAGTTTTTTTTTTTTTTTGGATTTTCACCAGAACCTCCCTCCCCTCTCTCTCTCTCTCTCTATATATATATATATAGGGAGTTTTGAATGTGAACCATTTAATTAGTATAAATCATACAAACGAATCAATTGAGCCATTTATGGAAATTTTTTAGAGTTTTATTTATTATGATCCATATATTTAAAAAGATGAGCATAGTACATTCATTATTATCAACACTTTAAATCATGATGAAACAACCAATGAGATTTTTATTAGACTAAATGGATGATGAAAATTGGTTTGTATGATTTATATTAATTAGAGAGTTTGTATATAAAACTCCATGTGTATATATATATATATATATAATATACACACAAACCAATACGATACACCAGATCAATTCTTGTGATAAACGCAATTCATGGATGGGTGTGAGATTAAAAGTGATCGAGGGTTTAGATCCATTTTTACGCTTTTCACCTTAATTCCTATTCTCACACCATTCTAAGTTTTTATATATATATATATATATATATATATATATATGGAATCTTTATTGTGTGAAAAGCAGATTACAATAAGACCAATCATGTACATATTTATTAATTACAATATCTGATGACTACTTTTTCAAACTTGTAATCATCAATTAAGAACAAAACAGAAGCATCATATCATATATTAATATATTTGTAGACTTGGATCACAAGATTCCAAATCCAAAGCTTTACAAATTTCATTGCATCTCTTCACTTCTCTGTTCTACACTCCTTCATTTCCAAATGGATCTTCATTTCTTCAACAAATCTTGCTTCATTCTCACCACAATCATATTTCTTGCCTACTTAACTGTTCAGTCTCTATCCCTTGCCTCCAATTCAACCTCTTGTGTCCCACAAAATTGTGGAAATGGACCCAATATAAGCTTTCCTTTCTGGCTTTTGCAACAACAGGAACCTTCTTGTGGATCCCCTGGATTCAATCTCACTTGCAAAAACAATTATCCGGTTCTTATGCTCTCCGGTGACGATTATCTTGTGAAAGACATATTTTACGCCAATAATTCTGTTAATCTTGTCGGTATGAAGGCTTTCAACGAAACCAATCTGTGCCCGATTCCTCTAAGAAACTTCAGCGTTGATGGAAGCCCGTTTAGCTATAGTTCTCTATCGGTCTATTTGTACTTCTTTTACAATTGCACGTCTCCTTACGCGGAGATGACATATTCCATTGACTGTTCTAAAAATGGTAGTCGTTTGTCTTCTTTTGGTGTTTTCCATCCCGAAATATTGAAGAAACACAACTATTCGGTAGATTTGTGCCAGAGTTTGGTTCATGTGCCTGTTCATGTCGATAGCATTAATGTGTTGTTGAATGAAAATTATACCCATGTTCTACGAAAAGGTTTTATCTTGGAGTGGCAGTGTAGCAATTGTGACAAACATGGTATGCATCTTTTTCATTCAGTTCGTCAGATTCGTTCATTTGCATGGTTAGAGTAGATACCAACCCGTCAAAACTTTAACAACCCGTCCTATATGGATACACAATTAGATCTGTGAGCTCCTTACAAGTTCAAAGTGAAGTTTTGGTAATGATGGATTAATTTTCCAATGCTTTTCAGGTAGAAATTGGAAGTTGAAGCTTATTATTGGTCTCGTTGGCACCACATTGGGGATTGTTCTCGTGTGTCTCTTTTGCTGTTTCTATCGACGACTAAACAAGAAGAGACGTTCTAACTATGGTTCTTCCTACATGTCAAGAAACATTTCTTCGTTTCCATCATCAATTACGGATCCTGAAAAGGATGGAACCTACAACGGTGTTCAAATCTTTAAGTACAAAGAGCTCGAGAAAGCCACAAACTATTTCGATCCCGCGAACGAACTTGGAGATGGAGGTTTCGGTACCGTCTACAAAGGTATCCTTATTACCTATCCTTGTTTTGTGTGATCTTGAGAAAATGATAATATTATCCAATACTTTCAAAATTACAAAATTCGGGATCCATCGGATAAATTGGTTTTCTAGCTGTTCATCTCCATGATTTACCCAAATATCAGTTACGTCCACAAAGCTTTTTTAAGAGAGGAGTTCAAACGGGTTTTAACATATCTTGACATCTGTTACATGTTAATATATATAAATCAAACAATTATGTTTATGTACAGGGAAACTCCGAGACGGGCGTATCGTAGCGGTGAAACGATTGTATGAAAACAACTACAAAAGGGTGGAGCAGTTCATGAATGAGATTCGGATCCTCGCTGGTTTGCACCACCAAAGTCTCGTATGCCTTTACGGTTGCACCACCCACCACGGGCGTGAGCTTCTGCTCGTGTACGAATACATCCCAAATGGCACCGTTGCGGACCATCTCCACGGCGAAAAGTCGAACCCCGGCTCACTTTCATGGACCACAAGAATGAGCATCGCTATAGAGACCGCAAGCGCATTGGTCTACCTTCATCATTCCGATGTCGTTCACAGAGACGTTAAAACCAACAATATTCTATTGGACAACAGCTTCACCGTAAAAGTTGCTGATTTCGGATTATCCCGTCTTTTTCCTGACAACGTGACCCACGTTTCGACCGCCCCACAAGGCACCCCTGGATACGTGGACCCCGAATATCACGAGTGCTATCAGTTGACGAGTAAAAGCGATGTTTATAGCTTCGGGGTCGTTTTAATCGAGCTTATTTCGTCAAAACCGGCGGTTGACATAACCCGGCATCGACACGAGATCAACCTATCGAATATGGCGATCAACAAGATCCGTAACGATGCAGTCCACGAGCTCGTGGACCCGAATCTTGGATTCGAAACCAATTACGAGGTGAGGAAGATGATTCATGGGGTTGCAGAGCTGGCGTTTCAATGCTTGCAAAACGAGAGGGACTGCAGACCATCCATGGATCAAGTGTTGGAAGGTCTGAAAGGAATTAAGAATGGATATGAGAAGCACGAAGTGTTGGATGGTATCAGTGATGATGCGGTGTTGTTGAAAAATCCGTCGCAGGCGATGTCGCCGGATTCGGTGGCGATTGCTTGGAGTACATCTACGATGTCGACTTCAAGTGGGTGATTACGGACGTCCGTGGGGTTAAGAAGTTGGATTATGAAATATATAATATTGAAATTAGGGTTTGGTAATGGTTGATGTGTTCAGTACACTATGAAGGTTTATGAAGAGAGGTGTATATAAACCCTTTTTTGCCATTGCTCTCATTCGTTCATTTCTTTTGATTTGTATTTATCAAATAGAATTCAACGTTATTGTAAAATTCATACTAAATATATATCTATATTATATTATAAATATTTGACAAAAAACTTTTTAAAATCATTTTTTATGTATAAAATACTGTTTATTAATGCATGCTACTTAAATTCAAGATTACAAGTAGATTATGTGTAAATATAACTTATTAAAGCTCTAAATCTGAATTCGTGTAATTAAATGTAGATAAACATAATCAAATATATGATAAACATCTCACTTTGAATATACAAAATCTAAAGAAATAAATTATTATATTATTAAACTTAAATTAATTTATAATTAAAAAAATAAATTAAAAAAATTACATAAAAATAAATTTTTTTAAATAGTTGATTT